GCCGTCGCCACCCCCACAGTCACCTACGTCACCGTGGCTAACAACACTCGCCTGCGCGCAAGCGCGCAAAGGATCGTCGTGCTCAAGGCACCCGGAAGCCGCACGTACATCACGCTCAACGATGTGCTGATCGTCCAGAACCTGCGCTTCAACCTTCTGTCCGCCGCACAGCTCATGGACTGCGGCGTTGACCTCAGCACGGATCGCGCGACGCGCGACATTCTGCTGCACTACGAATCACGAAACTTCCCCCGCGGGCAGATCGGACGAGCGCACTCCGAAAATGGAGTGTATGTCCTGGATTTCGACATTCCCGACTGCAGCGGCGACTCTCACGAATTAATTGATCTCGTGCCACTGCGTTTCAAGCACATCCACTGCAGGGATTGGAAGCACCCTGACGGCAGACCGTGGGTGCCGCATCATCCCCACCCACGCGAAACGGCGCTGCACGACCCTGACCCAAACGGCATCTGCAGGGATTGTCACACGCCGACAGCATCAACCAGCGCAATTGCCGGCCGCGGACTCGCCGCCATCGCCGAAGCAGAGCGCCACGCGCCACCTGAAGAAGGAATGTCCCATCTCGAGCTCGAAGTCACTACTCAGCGCGTGTTTGGCACCGACCAAAGCCCCCTCGCCGGACCACCCTCTCAACGGCTCGACAGTATCTTGCGCGGACAACGCCGCGGAACTTTCGACACACGCGGAGTCGCGCGCCCTTACACCCTCGAAGAATTTCTGAAGGTTTACCCCCACTGGCGCGACCCCACGGCGAAGCTCACTGTGGAGCAAGAGGAAGAACTGGCGCGCCGCGAAGCAGAGGAGCTTTGCCGACAGAGCCTCGCCGAAGCACGCGGGACGTTCGCTTGCGGTGCATGGGGAGCCGAAGCGGAAGAAAGTGCCTCCAATGAAGGGGGGTGGGGAAGCGCTGGCGGATGGGGCAACAGCGGCGGAACCTGGGCCAACGCAAGCGGCGGATGGGGCGCCGCAACTGGCGCCGACACCAGCGGGTTGGGGACTTTCCGCAAAGAACAAAGGGGGGGGGGGGGGGGGGGGGGGATGAAGCGAGGAAACTGAGGCAGCATCTGCAGTTGTTCCCCTTGGACGTCCCCCACGTCACGCTCCACTCGCACTACCTCCTCCTAACAACCCCCCGCGCAGCGACCCATAGGACACCATCGGCTGGGGCAACGAGCCGTTAACCCCGCGTCGCACTGTCTACGGACCTGCTCCCGAACCGCGCGAACCCACCTTCGTCCCTGGAACCATCCCTGGGACTAACATCCCGCTCTCTGAAATTCGCGACAGGGAATTTCTGGCACTGATGCTGACCACCACCAACGCAGAAGAAGCAGCAGCAGAATCTGCCCCCGTACCTGACGAAGACCTCGAAGAAGCTCGCGCGCGCTACATGCGCACCTCCGGCTTTTGGGCTGACGATGCACTTTGGCACAAGCGCCTCGGACATCCCTCACGCGCGACGCTGAAAAACTGCATCGACGCAGGCGTCTTCGCTCCTGGAGCGCTCCTGCGCCCAGATGGCACCGAAGTGAGAGGCGCGACACATCCGCGCAACTGCACCGTCTGCCCCGAAGCTGTTAGAATAGTAGGCACAAGTAGGAGCCATAGCTAGGTAAACCCTAGCTAGGCAAGAGAGAAATGAGCAAAGGAGGGGTTTCACTAGCTGCAGTTGGGATACATATAGCAAACCCTAACTGGGTTGTACCCGCTATAGAGCACCCCACTACAGGCTAGATAATAACATTCTGACACACCCCCATAGCCAAAGTGAGGTGTAATCAGCACAATGAGCAAGCATAGCAGGAGTTCACAATTATTAGTAAAGCTAGAGGTTATCACAGAGGGCTAGTGAGGAGGAGGAGTGACTGTGAGAGGAGAGAAGATGGGAGGCGACGACTGAAGCTGCAGACACACGGGCAACAGGAGCGGCTGGCACAGTGGCTACCGAGAGCACGACAGCTCCGGACTACAGGAGTAACAGGCTCCGCGGCTACGACGAGCGGCAGGAGCAACGGACCCACGGGCGACTGGCGCAACGGGCTCACGGGCTACCGAGAGCTCGACGGCACCGGACTACTGGCGCTGCTGGCGACACGACGGCTGCCTCCACCAACCTCCTCCAACTGTCCCACACCCCTCGACACACACCCCCTGCTGAACCCCTAACTCCACTCCCACGTCACCCCCCTAGCACCACTCCTTCGGCTCCCCACACACCCACCCCCCTCAGCGGCAGCTGCAGCAGTGGGAGACGGAGGAGGAGGAGGAGCAGGGGACGGCGCACACTCTTGCACCCCCATAACCGCCACCCCCACACTCGCCACCCCCAAACCCTAAAACGGGTGGCACGGGGCAGGAGCGCGGGGGACGGCGCGGGGGACGGCGCGCGGCCCTGGGGCAGGCTGCCCGGGCCGCGCGCGGGCCTGGCGCAGCCCGTACGGGCCGCGCGCGGGCCTGGCGCAGGCCGTACGGGCCGCGCGCGGGCTGTACGGGCCGCGCGCGGGCCTGGCGCAGCCCGTATGGGCCGTGCTCGGGCCTGTCGCAGCCCGTACGGGCCGCGCGCGGGCCTGGCGCAGGTCGCGCGGGCCGCGTCGGGCGACGGGAAGCGACGCGCTCTACGGGATCAGGCAGGCACCGAGGCTATGGCAGCAGTATTTGCACAACATCCTGCTTGAAATCGGATTCAAGCAGATGCCGCACGACCTGCTCTACACAGGATCAAACAACGAGCTTCTCGAGCAGTTCGAGAAAGCCTTGGCGGGGCGCGTCGACATCACGTGCAACTACGAGGTGAAGCAGTTCTTAGGCCTCAACATCTCCTACGCGCCTGAGGCCATTCACCTTTCAGCGGCTAAGTACGCAGAGGAGTTAGGGAAGCGGTTCAACATCTCACCTGCACCCCTCTCAACTCCCTACCGAACCTTTGGACCGAACCACAAACCTGACAACAAAGCCTTATCCCCTGCTGGAGTTCAGACCTACCAGCAGCAGCTGGGATGCCTACTTTTTGCCTTTGTCACCTGCAGGCCAGACCTCTCCTACATCGCAAGTCAGCTGGCCCAGTACTGACGCAATCCAACGGCTGAGAATCTTCTAGACCATCAGCGCCCCCTACAGTTTTTCGTTTCAACGCCCAAGATTGGGCTGTGCTACTCAACTGCACCAACTCCATCCTTCAACCTCATCGGCTACGTGGACGCCGATCACGCAGCAGATCCCGACAATCGACGGTCCAGGACTGGCTCTCTGTTCCGACTCGAACCAACGGGACCATTCTCATGGAATTCGCAGAAGCAAGAGTTGGTTGCTCTGTCGTCAGCCGAAGCAAAATTCATCGCAGCAACCGCAGCAGTTCGCGAAGGCCTCTATCTGCAGAAACTTCGGCAGGAGGCGAAAATTCCGGCTTCGCCCACCTTTCGTCTTCACTGCGACAACCAGAGTGCGATTCGCATCGCGAACAAGCCTGGTTTCGTCAACCGCACCAAGCACATTGCGCTGCGGTATTTCTTCGTGAAGGACGAAGTGGACAAAGGCAAGGTCAACTTGACCTATTGCCCGACCGGTGACATGGCAGCAGACTTCCTCACGAAGCGACTGCCACGTCAGCAGTATCAGCACTGCTCCGAACTCAGCGGCGTGGTCAAGCAGGTCAAGTCGAGCTACGGCCAGGAGTGAAGGGGGGTGTTACGAATAGTAATGAATGAAGATTACAGTGCACTCCCAACCGCAGCTAAGGAAGCATGCAGTATCGAGAACGAACGCGAAGAGTCAGAGTTGACTCGAAGCGTCAGACGGTTAGGATGCATCTGGACCGTCGGAAGCAGACGACATCGGGCAGGTGCAGGCAGGATGGTTTTGGCGGGAACAGTTTCGTAACTGTACGCGCCGCACGGTTGGGAATGAATTTGAATAAGGAAATGTACCCCTTAGAGTACATGGCTAGTTAGGTCGTTTCGTATTCCCCTGTACTCTTATTTATATCGCTGTATTTGCATGTTTTAATCATCTCAAGCATTTTACATTCACTCTGCTATTGAGGTCAAGGGCCCACCAACACTATCTACCTGCGTGCGAACCTTCCCGAGTAGATCCTGGTTACGATCAACTTTTGATCATAGCACAAGATTCGCCTCCTCCCGGTTTGAGATCCTCCAACTCATACTGGCAAAGTTCCTCATTGCTTTCAAAATTTTCTTATGGCGCAGGAAGAAACAGTTAGTGAAAGAACAACTACGCTCAGCCGCTCGCATTAAGCTGGCCACTCGACTTCGCTTTCTCGTCTTCGACCACAACGGAACCCCTTCTATCCACCCAGACCTCCGCTCCTCCTGGTTGCTTGGGGACCCCTTTCGTCCCCCCTAGACCTTTCCCCTTTTTGAGCATAGAGAGCTCTCCAGCTGGGCTGGTGGTTATCCAATGGATAGAGAAATAATGTGTTTTCCTACGTACGCCTCTGTGCTGTTGGTTGTATAGACCATATTTCTAGCTGCTCTATGCTTTTGCTATATATGGTTAGACCTTATATAACCTTAACCTTAACCTCCTCCCTCCCCCACCCCACGGATGCCAGAGGTACTTTTTGTTGACGTGTTCGCTATGCACTGGCTTTCTGAATCAGAAATACAATTGATGCCCGACCAGTGCATGCGAATTTGCCATGCGCCTCGTATTCCTGCCGCCGAACACTACTGCCTTCACCCAGCCCCTCGACCAGGGCATAATTGCCACTGCGAAGGCCCGCTACCCCGCCAGCACTGGCTGCGGGCCTTCACGGCATTGTGGAACGACGACGGCGCAACAAGCGCCGTCGCACGGTACCGCCCCAACCTGCGTGACGTCCTGGGGTGGCTCTCTGACGCATGGATGAGCGTCGGTGCGCGCACCATCCAGAGGTGCTGGTGGCGCACGGGCTGCCTGCCGCTGTCGTGGTCCATGGAGCTGACACATGTTCACGACGACGAGCCGATCCCGCATGCCTATCCCGACATCGAGCTCGATGAAGATATCGACGACGTCGGGACGCTCATAAGCTCCCTCGGCCTCGGGCACGGCGCGATGACCGCCGCCGAATACGTCGCCATCGGCGACGGCGAGCCAACGTGCGCGGAGCCGGCGGCAGAGCCGACGACTGATGAGCCGGAAGCGGGCCTGGTGGCGGAGCTATGGAGGGCGCCGACCACGATGCAGGCGGTGTACGACGATTCCGACCCCGTGGGCCGTGAAGCGCGGCGCACTGCACGGGCGGCCTGTGAGATGCTCATCGGATATGCTCGCGCCGTGAGCGTGACTCCGCGCGACCTATGCCACCTGTTCGACATACGCAATCCAATCATCATCGAGCGCATGGAGCGGGCAAGCCCCGCCCTTAATCTCAACACGGCCCCGCCGCCCGTGCTTACACCGGGCGCAACGCCGACGCCAGGCACCCCTCGTCCGCAAGGCCGTGTGCTGCCTGGCTGGATGACCCACCCATCCCGCCGTCAGCAGCTGCTGGACGGCGGGGTTGGCGCCGCGATGGGCGGGTACGTGGAGGCGGCAGAATGGATGCACCTCTGAGCTGTTTTTGTGGCCTTTTGTGCAGGCGTCGAAGACATCCATGTTGTGTTGAGATTGTTATCCCAACACGAACATTTGTGTGTGTTGGGATGTGTGTCGCGGATGGGGCTCAGCGACCATGTGGGAGTTGGTGATTGGCTAGGCGTTCTGTGTTGGTTGTTTCAATCTAAGTTGAACAATTGTTGATGCTGCTGGGTGGTTTGTTTTCGCTTTCGTGAGGTATTCAGTAACGCGCATTTGGGACAATGAGTGCCGCCCGTCACTGATCCGGAACGGACAAATCGAGTGGTAACCATGTTCAGGGTAAATGCACGCGCAAAGCCTGACGAAACAGCCGAACAACCGACGAAATGTCGGTTTAGCATACAGTCCCCCTTCACAAGGCAACCGGGAGGGGCTCTAACGAGCATTAGCTGTACTACAGTATTTGCGCACCTGGCCGCCTTCCCCTTACAGTACCACGGGATAACCCCACCAGCCCCTCCCTCCTCCTCACCACCACTCTTCAAGTTGCATTCATGATTAACCTACTGTTTGACATTTCCACCATTCCTGAACCCTCCAGAGACCTTCATGTCACCTTGAGGACGCGGTGAAAGTGACAAATTCGGAGGATCGTGAGAGAATATCGATTTTCACGATCGCTTTGGGGAATTGATCGGTGAAACGATGCACATCCAGCGTTGTAAGGATCGGAAAAAACTGTTGAGCGCTGTGTTCCATTCCCCGGGATCACTTTGGCGCGGAGAGGTTACCCGCTTTACAACAACTTCGTACAAGCTCGATTGCGAATTTCGCACTTCACAGGGCAACCCGGTCGGCGAATCTATGGCCTTTTGAAATGTGCAAATCGTGCGACTCATTTCATCCGCTTAGCGAAAAACTATCACGTCGCAAGCACTTGGATCAGTCATCACTGTAATGCTCGGTTCGTCGGCATTTGCTTCCCAGCTAAGCCGCGATTGATAGACGATCAGTCGTCCTGTCTGAATGTTTGTGTATTTTGTCTAAAATTGTCACTGTAGCTGGGTTACTTGTCTGTAAACAGGGTAACCGTTTCACACATCAATCGCGACAGACGATCGATCGTCTACTTTTACCGCGTCCTGAGAATGTCGCGACTGATTCGGGGAGTGGGCAGAATCCATCCACCCGTTGGGAATGTTTCACGTTAAAGGGCGGGGAGAATCCTCACCGATTCTGTTCTGCAATGCTGCTGCACAGCCACGCCTCGGGAGGGGAGAGGAATGTCATGTGGGGAGTGGTGTATGCAGTGCAGAGATCATAAAATGATGGCCGCGTTCGGCGGCCGCATCAGAGCCTGATGCGCCCTAGGCTCGGCAAATTGACAAATTGAAAAATTGAGGCTGGCGCCTGGCGCCTTCCCCACATGCATGATGCGCTGTTCAATTTCCCCAATTCGAGCTGATGCGCGCATCATGCGTGTTTAGGGCGTTGCATCATGCGCGCATCAAGGATGCGTCAGATTGCTAGTACGCTGTATTTCCTGGAAAGCGGCGACATGCAAATTTGTGGTTGCCAAAAAGACCGTTCTGCAGGCATTCGGGCTTGGTCTGCCTCGGCAGCCAAGCGCTTATCACGAACCTTGATAGCCTTTCGGCTGGTTATCACGGAAGGCTCCTGGAACATCGAAAAAAATGTGCAATGTACATTGGTGCGGGCTAATGCGGCCGCCGAACGCAGCCGATATGTAACGTCTCATGTGACCATTGGAAGAAGTGAAGAGCCATTTTAATTCCAACCAGAACAGCCGACTTTCACAGAGTCTGATGGAAAGAAAGCGACTTTTGTTTCTGGGTCGTGCTCTTTGACTAGAGAGCTTGACCTGTCCACGAGAATGGCGTACTGCCACTTTTCGCAGCTTGCAGCCCCAGGAATATTCCCGTCAGGCATCGCTGGTTCCAGTGTAAACAGTCTGGTTCACCCGTTTTTGAATCGCTTTCTCCCACAGAACCACCGAAACCAGCCACATCTGACCACAGCCCGCCAGACCCCCCGCTTCCAAATTCACCGCCCTTCCCACCCAGTGAACGCCCATGTACAGAACAATCGCCAATTCGAGAATAGACCTTAGTACAGAACCTCTCCAATTCTAAGAATAGGCTCGTCATCGTCGCCCGGTTTTAGGCATTCGACATTTTCTGATGGAGGCCGCCGCGGGCCACCGCCGCGCGCAGTCCGACGCTGACGCCTTCACCGTCGCGGACTGGGCGCACGAGCGCATGCGTTCGTTTAACTTTCGGAAAACCGCCGGGCCGGAAGGGGCTTCCGCAGGTAGCACATTTTCCATCACAAGCGGCGCAGCTTCCGTGGCGGACGCTCCCCATGCGCCCAGCCCGCGCGGGCGAAAGGTCTCGATCGCTGGTTTCGCAACTTCAGCGGGGGGGAGAATGCATCCCGCGCGCAGCCCTTCCGCGCGCGCGCGACGAGCGAGCGCGGGTCCGACGGATCTTGGGATAGCTCCCTCAAGTGAGGGGGGAGGCAAGGGAGAACAGAAGAAAGCGGGGGAAGAAACTTTGGAGAAGCAGCAGCAGGAGCAAGAGGAGAAACAGCAGCAGCAGAAGCAGCCACGGCGGACGAAGCTCGTTCAAGCAAGTTTTATGGAACGAAGAACTGGGGAAGCGGTTAAATCTCGGTCTTAGCCTCGGCGGGAAGGAGCAGCTGCTGCTGCGCGGATCAAAGAGCGCCAACCAATGGGGCTCCACCATCGAACGGCGCTCGCCCGGCGCTCGCGGGCTTGTGTCTCCGCGCGTGGCGGCTGCTCCGCGCGCGGATTCCGAAGCAGGGATGCGCTGTGCAGGCGAAGCGGCCGTTGCAGAGAGAGGGAGCGTGGCGAGAGAAGATAAGAGGGACGAGAGGAGAAACGAGAGGGGTGAGGAGAAGGGGGAAGAGAAGGACGAGGAATGGGGGGAGCGGAAGAGTACTAAAGGGACAAAGGCGGAGAGGAGCTTGGGCAGGGAGAAAGGAGTTAGGCGGGATAGGGAGGCCAGGCGGACGAAGGTAGAGGGGGACGGTCCTGGAGGGAGGTAATAAAGGAGAGGGGGGCGGAAGGAGGGTGGGAGGAGAGGAGGAATGGGAGGAGGGAGGGAGATAGAAGGGAGGAAGGAACGGAGGAGGGGAGGGAAGAAGGGGCGGAGGGGAAGAGGGAGGATGAGGGAGAGGAAAAGAAGGCTGGAATAAGGGACGGACGGGTGGGTAAGGAAGGGGAGGAACGGAATGAGGGCGAACGAGAGGAAGCGGGGGGTGATACAGTTCACAGAAGGCTCTCGCTCACCTCTGATTGGTTGGGTTCGTCCAGGGAAAGTGAAGTAGTAACAGCAGGTCAAGTCACAGCAGCTGCTGCAACGACAGCAGTTGCAGCAGGAATGTCAGCAGCAGCAGGTGCAGCAGAGGCGTCACATACCCCCACGCTCTCGCTGCTGAGTCCCCGAGGACACCCAACCATGCAGCAGCAGCAGCAGCAGCAGCCCCTCTTAGCCCATCCGCCCGCATCCGCCCCTCTGTCCACTGCCCCGTATCCGCCGCAACAGCAACGCGTACTGCATCGTCCGCCCCCGCTTGTGCTTGGAGGCCCTATGTGTCACGCCGTTTCTCCACCTTCCCCTCTAGCTTTCCCGAAGCAGCAGATCAGCCTCCCCCAAGTCAGCCCTAGCTCGTCTCAGAAGCACCCCCCTCAGAAAAACCCACCTGGAATCACCTCCCTGAATGCCGGAGGATCAAAGTCCTTCCGCCTGCCTCCGCTTCTCATCGTAGCAGATGCTTCATTGCAGTCTAACGCGCCCGTGCCTATGCCCTTGCCTATGCCCATGCCAGTGCCCATGCCCATGCCTATGCGCATGTCCATGTCTAACCCCGAATTCTCCTACCCCTTGCCTGCAAACCCTATTTCGTCAAACCCTGATTTGCCCCACCTCTCGTCGTCACATCCTCACGTACTTCACTCCCCACTGCACCACCAGGATCTCCCCACTCGCAAGCCACCCACCTTCCCCATCCCTCCTCTCCCAAACCTTCCCTTTCCATCCTCCAGTTCCCCAGTCGCACTCCCACCCTCTCGCGCCCCCCCCTTCTCCCTTCTCCTTCCCGCTCTCCCCCGCGTCTCCCTCTCTGCTTATGCGGAAAGTGTGGGAGGGCAGAGGGGGCATGTGATAGGGGGGGATCACATGGGGACCTGTATGGGCTGGTCACGCCTGATGTTGAGGAATTACACGAGTCTTGGCCTGCCGCTGCCGCTGCCGGGTGCTGTTGGGGGAATCAAGGCGTCTCGTGGAGAATCGTTGTCTGCTGCTGCCGAAGGTAGCGGGGTGGGATTGTGGCCAGTTTTTACACTTCGCAAAGCTCTCAAGATTCAAAAGATGGAGGGTTGCGAGTTATGTTGCAGAGGAAGAACCAAAGGGAGAGAGGAAGAAGGACAGAAGGATGAGAGAGAGAGAAGAGGACGAGGATGAGTATTTACCTGTGTGTAAGCCCTTGGGGAGTGACGAGACGAGAAGTAGGGTGATAGGTTCTCAGCAGCAGCAGCAGCAGCAGCAGCAGCAGCCACAGCAGCAGATGATTGTGCAGCAAACTCAACACTTACAAATGCAGCAGAACTCTCAAAACTTAAAAATGGGAGGGTGGCGAATTTTGTGGCAGAAGAAAGAAGAAGAAGCGAAGACGGAGGGAGAGAAGAGCAGAACGATGATGGGGAGGAGGACGGGGATGAGTCTTTGCCTGTGTGTAAGCCCTTGGGGAGTGACGGGAGGAGGAGGAGAAGTGGGGTGATAGGTTTTGAGCAGCAGCAGCAGCAGCAGCCACAACGGCAGGCACAAACGCAGCATCAGCAACAGCAGCAGCCACAGCAGCAGCAGCAGCAGCAGCCACAGCAGCAGCAGAGGCAGATGAGTGTGCAGCAGATAATGCAACAGGCGCAGCAGGTGCAGCAGAAGCAACAATGGCGGCATCAGCAGCATCAGCACCTTCAACAGCAACAGCAGCAGCAACAGCAACAGCAGCAACAACAGCAGCAACAGCAACAGCAGCAACAACAGCAGCAACAGCAACAGCAGCAACAACAGCAGCAACAGCAACAGCAGCAACAACAGCAGCAACAGCAACAGCAGCAACAACAGCAGCAACAACAGCAGCAACAGCAGCAACAACAGCAGCAACAACAGCAGCAACAGCAACAGCTGCTGTTGCAGCAGCAGCACCAGCAGTACGAACAACAACAACAGCATCAGCGGCAGCAGCAGATTCAGAACTCAACATAAACAGGTGCAGCAGCAGCTGCTACAACTGCAGCAACAGCTGCAGCTGCTGGAGCAGCAGCAGCAGCAGCAGCACCAGCGGCCAGTCAGTTGTTCCTTCCACTGTTGCGGGATCCTTCAATTTCACTGTAAATGCCACCACGGGTGCACTCAACCCCCCTGCTCTCCATCCTTCGCTGCATCTCCCCCCCCACGCTCCATTCAGAATCTTCCACCCTCCTCTGGGCAGTCCCAGGAGCACCAGTCAGTCCTTTATGATGGACCTCCAACCCCCCAAGATCCACTCTGCTATTTATGTCGCCTCCTCCTCCTCCTACCCATCCTCTTCCTCCTCCTCCTCTCAAATCCTCTCCTCCTCCTCCTCCTCCTCCTCCTCCTCCTCCTCCTCCTCCTCCTCCTCCTCTCTCCTTCCACCAATGATGCCTCTACTACCATTCCCACCCCCACCCCCACCACCACCGCCACCACTGCCACCATTGCCTCTGCCACTGCCACAACAAGCAGCAGCAGCAGCAGCAGCAGCAGCAGCAGCAGCAGCAGCAGCAGCAGCAGCAGCAGCAGCAGCAGCAGCAGCAGCAGCAGCAGCAGCAGCAGCAGCAGCAGCAGCAGCAGCAGCAGCAGCAGCAGCGCAGCAGCAGCAGCAGCAGCAGCGGTGGCGGCAGCGGCGGCGGCGGCGGCGGCAGCTGCAAAGTCAAGATAACACCAAGCGCGACCAATGCACCAGGCACACCTGGAAGAAAACCCAGCACTCCAAAGGAACTGCCCTCCTTGCAGCTTCCCCGCCGTTTGTGGGCGTCTGCAGAGGCAATCCCTGTGGATCATCTACTCAGCAACAGCAGCAGCAGCGAACCACTTCCTCCCCTCCTCCTTCTCCACGCTCACGCACGCTCCCCACTCCCCCCGCCCTACCGTTCCCTTTTCTCCCCATCTTAACGCTCTCACTCCCGAACCTCCCCCTCTGAAGCCCCTTGTTTTGCCCCATCCTCCCGCTTCTCCCCGCCCTGGGGCTGCCCCCCCTGGTGCTAGAGCCACGCCACGTGGCAGGAGGAGCCTGTCCGTGGATGTGCCGGCCTGTCAGAGCCGGGACTTTGATTTGCCTAAAACACCCAGGGCAGGCACACCCAGGACAGGCACACCCAGGACAGGCACACCCAGGGCGGGTACACCCAGGGAAGGTACACCCAGGGCGGGTACACCTAAAGAAGGCACAACCAGGGCAGGTGCACCCCTTTCAGCTCAAGCACCTCCGAAGGGTGAGGCTTCGACTCCCAGAATGCGCAGTCAAGGAGCAAGGTCGTTTAAAGCCAGGGTCTCAAGTACTACGAGGTTTGCAGTTGCTGTTGAAAGTTGGGCTGTGATTGGTTGGCGAGGTGAAAGGTTTGAAGTGGGGAGAAGCGAGGGGTGCGAAGCGAACGCAAATCGTTGGGTGTATCCGAACCTTCTAGGCTTGGAAACTTGGTTCGAAACCAAACCTAAAATGCCCCCAACTTATCGAAAGTCTCAAGTACCCAAAAGTGTTGTGCAATCGCTTCTGGGGCACTGACGGGGTGTGTCGCACGCTGATTTTCCAAACCAACCAGAAAGAACTTCGTCTGCAATAACTAGGTAACCTAGCTTCAACTGCAAAGCAGTTGACAGCTCCTTAGCTTACTTGAGACCCTGGCTTTAAAGCCTCTGACTCGTTTAGAGTACGAGATGGTACAGGACAGCGGCAAAAGCCTGACAGTGTCGAGCCTGGGAGGGAGGCCAGAGGTGCAAATGAAGAGAAGGAAACGGAGAGGGAGAAGGGGAGGAGGCATGACACGGCAATGGCGAGAGGGCAAAAGAAGGAGGAGGAGGTCGAGGAGGGAAAGAAGGAGGGGGATAAGGTCAAGGAGGGAGATAGGCCTGATAAGCCTGATAAGCCCGATAGGCCTGATGGGCCTGTATGGTGGCATTTAAAGGATCGTCTGAGAATGCGGTGGTCCTCAAACAGAAGCATGGATGCCATTGCACTCTCACCGCTCTCTCCCCCCCACCTGACCCACACCACACGTTGCCTCTCTCCCGTGTGCTTCTCTCCCCACGTCACGCCCCTGCCCCTGCCGAGCAACCCGCTGCAATCGCTGCTTCTAGCACCTGACGCCCCTGCATCGTCTGCCTCTTTGTCTGTCCTTCATGGCCCCACGGAAGGTAGTAACGCTGCGAGTGTGAGCAGCAGGGGAGCGGCAGCAGCAGGTGGCTTGATGCCTCGGCCTCCTCTCGAAGCCTGAAGCAACAAAAAGGGTTCTGCCGATGGGGGGAATGTCAGTGCTGGGGTACTGTGGAAGAAGGCACGAGGAAGGATAGGAGGCCTGCTGGTGGTGGTGGTGCAGCTGCTGCTTCTGCCGTTGTCAGTGCTGGTACTGATGTGGTGTTGCTGCTGCAGATGCAACATCTAGGAGCCACAGAGAGCCAAATCAGCTGTTAGTTTCGCGTGGGTGATTATATCGAAGCAGCGGTGAAGGGCACGGGAGTGAGCGACAGCGAATCAGACGCGACAATTTGTGGCAAGGTTGAGAGCGGCACACGTGGCCAGGATGATGAGAGAGGAGGGAAGAGGGGGGGGGAAGAGGAGGGAAAGAGGGGGGAAAAGAGGGGGGGAAAGAAAGGGGAAAGAGGGGGGGAAAGAGGTTGGGAAAGAGGTGAGAGAGACGGAGGGGAAGAGTGGGGAAGGATGCGAGGATGGAGAAGAGAATGAACAGGAGAAAGAGCAGGAGAGGTGTGAATTCAAATCGGAGGGTTGTGCAGGAGTGGGTCTCCAGCCTGGTTCCTCTGAAAGGGAGAGTGATGAGGATGAAGGGGACGAGGGGGATGACAAGGATGGGGGCAGAGTAACGGTTGTGCGAGTGGGGAGCACTGGTGAAGCGACTAAGAGCCGAAGCCCAAAAAACTCCAGTAGAACACCTGGTAGATCTCCTGGTAGGAGTCCTGGTAAGAGCCCGACAGGGAGCAGAAGGAGAAGGCCCCAGGAGTTTCAGGGAAGAGCAGAGCGCAAGTCCCAAGAGCGAGGCCTTGTTAGTAGGTCATACGGATGATGATAAAGAGCAGCAGCGGCGGCGCTGGCAGCGGCGACTGCGCAGCTGCGATTGGGGAGGAGGTCGAGAGGGGCGGAGGAGGAGATGGTTGGGAGGAGGGAGACGAGGGGGTGAGAGGGAGAGGGGGATGGGTAAGGGGGGGAGGAGAGGTGAGAGAGGGCGAAGCGAGTGGAAGGGAGGAGGCAGGCAGGCAGGTGCGGCTGAGTTATTTCTGATGATGAGACAGTTGCAGGAGAGGGAAGAGGATGGGGTAGGCGATGGGGGAGGAGATGGGGAAAGAGCGGGGGGAGGAGAGAGGAGAAGCGAGAAAGCTGGAGGGAGGGAGAGAGCACAAGAGGGATAGTCCCCGAGGCAGGGCTTCTTTCAGGGAGAAGGAGAGTGGGGAAGGGGAGAGAGAGGAAGACGCAGGGCGTGTGGAGAGAGTGCGAAGGAAAGAGAGCAGGGAAGGACGAGGGAGCAGGGGCGAGCAGCAGCAGGAGACGGAGATTACGGAGGGTTACAGCGGGTGAGAGTGCCGGTGGGAAGCTGCCAGAGGAGAAAGACCAAGCGGAGCCTAGAAAAACACGGGATGGGGAAGCAAAGGAGGATGCGGCGCACCAAAGGGAGGGTGGGGAGCGCAAGGAGAGGAGAGGAAGGAAGGAGATCCTTTCAAAGGTGGCGAAGCGAGACAGTGCGTTGGCTTCCAGCAACGAGAAGGTATTCGCCACCATGCGCGCGATCCAAAGACCTCAAGTCCACCAGCGGTGGCCACCCCACCCACCTCGCCAAGCCCTCTGCAGGAGGCCTTGCAGCAGCCTTGCTGTGGGCTTTGCGGGTTTTGATGCGTCTAGGGTGCGTGGCGCCATCACGCGGGCCGCTCCCGGGGGAGGAAGGCCGCGGGGACGTCGTTCCAGGCGGGTGAGAAGAGCTTGCTGCCCGACCTTGAGACGACGGTGATGTGGACTTGAAGCTGGATGTGAAGGCAGCTGCAGCTGCAGGCGCAGGTGTGGGCTCGTCTCGCTTTGAGGAGCTTGGAAAGAAACAGTCGGCTTCAGCTGCTGCTGCTGCTGCAGCTGCCCATCGCTGCTGCTGTCGGTGGTGCTGCTTCTGGCAGTGTTTTTTGCTGGTGCTGCTGGCGTCGAAACTCCAAGCAGAGGCAGCCAGCCGGGGTGAAGAGAAGAGCATGGCCGCAACTCTAAAGACCGGAGGCGGATGTCGTACAGCGACCTGGGGGGCCTGGCCTCTCTTGATAGCACCGAGGGCCGGGGCTGGCAGACCGAGGGGCAGTGAGGAGAGGGGGGGAGTAGGCGATCTGGTGAGAGTTTGGGGAGTTTGACGGTGGTGGTGAGTGGGAGTGGCAGGAGAAGTCGAGAGAGAAAGGGCGACGGGTGGGGAAGGAGCGGACAAGGGAGGGAGAGAGGGAGAAGGAGAAGGAGAGGAGAGGAGTAAACGATGGGGGAAATCAACCTCTGGTGCATTTGCACATGATTCTAGTCAGGGCAGCACTGCAGGCGGCGGCAGCAGCAAGCATGGCAACAGCAGCAGCAGCAGCCAGAGCCAGAACCTCAGCCCATTGCGGATCGAAACGCTTGTCTCGCCCCAAAACCCAGTCATCATCCTTTAAGTCCAGCTTCTTGACCAACATGCTGTCCCCGAGGGGTCTTATCGGGCCTGGCGGGCCCCTACTAAAGTGGGGCTTTTGGGGGCGGGGAGATTTGCTCTCGCAGGAGCGGTACTTGGTTAAGCAGGAGATAGGGGGGCGGGTCGTATGGGATGATCCGGGCGGTGCGGGAGAAGGAGACGGGCAAGACGTGGGCGTGCAAGAGCATTGGGAAGGAGCAGATTCAGGTGAGTGAGGGAGAAGAGAGTTTGGAGAATGGTGTTGCAGATAGGTGCGAGTGAGAGATTGGATACCCTGCGCACCCTAATCCTCAATCCCTATTTCTTCATTCCTCATCCCTCTAGACAGACACGATCCCTCCCCCGTTCGGCCAATCGTTCCCGCACTCTCCCATTCCCGAAACCCCTTATTCCCCCACTCACCCACCGCTTCATTCTCCCTTTCCCCCATTCCCCCACTACTCCCTCTAAAACCAAGGCAGCAGTGGCAGCACTGCTCGGAAGTGGCGGTGATGCAGGTGCTGATAGGGAATCAATATTCTTCCCCTGACTCGACCGTGATCTTCTAAACCCCACTCCTCCACTCCCACTCCCCACTACACCCGCTACCCACTACCCCATCAGACGAAGGCAGCAATGGCATCACGCGGCAGGAGGTGGCGGTGATGATGCAGTTGCTGAAGGGCACCCGCACGTGGTGGAGGTGAAAGAGGCCCTGGAGGATGACACGGTACGTGCGTGCTGTGCATGGTACAGGCGGACATGTGTGGGACATGGGCATGGTATGAGGAGGAAAACACTGGGATATGAAGATGGGATGGTGTGTTTCTGTGGATGGATGGTGTGTGTGTGTGTGTGTGTGTGTGTGTGTGTGTGTGATGGTGTGTGTGTGTGTGATGGGATGGTGTGTGTGTGTGTGATGGGATGGTGTGTGTGTGTGTGTGTGTGGTGTGTGATGGGATGGTGTGTGTGTGTGTGTGTGATGGGATGGTGTGTGTGTGTGTGATGGCATGGTGTGGTGTGTGTGTGTGTGTGATGGCATGGTGTGTGTGTGTGTGTGATGGGATGGGGTGTGGTGTGTGTGATGGCATGGTGTGTGTGTGTGTGTGTGATGGGATGGGGTGTGTGTGTGTGTGTGTGATGGGATGATGTGTGTGTGTGTGTGATGGGATGGTGTGTGTGTGTATAATGGCATGGTGTGGGTGTGTGTGATGGCATGGTGTGTGTGTGTGTGTGATGGCATGGTGTGTGTGTGTGTGTGATGGCATGGTGGGTGTGTGTGATGGCATGGTGTGTGTGTGTGTGTGTTGTGATGGCATGGTGTGTGTGTGTGTGATGGCATGGGGTGTGTGTGTGTGATGGCATGGTGTGTGTGTGTGTGATGGCATGGTTGTGTGGTGTGTGTGTGATGGCATGGTGTGTGTGTGTGTTGTGATGGCATGGTGTATGTGTGTGTGTGTGGCATGGTGTGTGTGTGTGTGTGTTGGCATGGTGTGTGTGTTGTGTGTTGGCATGGTGTGGGTGTGTGTGATGGCATGGTGTGTGTGTGTGTGTGTTGGCATGGTGTGTGTGTGTGTGATGGCATGGTGTGTGTGTGCGTGTGATGGCATGGTTGTGTGTGTGTGTGTGATGCATGGTGTGTGTGTGTGTGTGTGTGTGATGGCATGGTGTGTGTGTGTATGATGGCATGGTGTTTTGTGTGTGTGATGGCATGGTGTGGGTGTGTGTGATGGCATGGTATGGGTGTGTGTGATGGCATGGTGTGGGTGTGTGTGATGGCATGGTGTGTGTGTGTGTGATGGCATGGTGTGTGTGTGTGTGATGGCATGGTGTGTGTGTGCGTGTGATGGCGGTGGGTGTGTGTGTGTGATGGCATGGTGTGTGTGTGTGTGATGGCATGGTGTGTGTGTGTGTGATGGCATGGTGTGTGTGTGTATGATGGCATGGTGTTTGTGTGTGTGTGATGGCATGGTGGGTGTGTGTGTGATGGCATGGTGTGTGTGTGTGTGATGGCATGGTGTGGGGTGTGTGTGATGGCATGGTGTGGGTGTCTGTGTGATGGCATGGTGTGTGTGTGTTGTGTGTGTGTGTGTGTGTGATGGCATGGTGTGGTGTGTATTGTTAGAATTGAACCGTTGAATTGATTAGGAATCAAGAGGGCTTACATAGTTGAAGCTAGGGAAGGTGGGTTGGTTGGGTACCTAGCCAACATTATTGGCCCCCCACCAATAAGTTGGGTTGGAGAATTATTGGGGGGTCCCAATAATGTTGGCCAAAGTGAGCCAACATTATTGGGGGGGCCAATAATCTCCCAACCCAACCTTGGGGGCCAATAATTGGACCAAGGTTGGGTTCCAACCCCCAACTAGGGTTAACCCTAGTTTGTGCACCCAAACACAATTTGGGTGCTTATCTCTATCCTAGGGTTTTAGGATCAGTGCAGGATGCAAAAGAGTAGTATAATCTAACACAACCCCTTAGCCTGCATAGATCCATAAACCTGGATGAGATAAGACAGCAACCCCTGAATCAGTCACCATGAGGAGCAAGGCCCAGGAGGGGTAAGATTGCCGAGTGAGTAGTGCGATCGAGGGCTTTAGTGAATATGTCGGCGGGGTTGGAGGAGGAGTCGATCTTGCGCACGGTGATGTGGCCATCCTGGACAAGGTCGCGGATGAAGTAGTGTCGGAGCTCGATATGCTTAGAGCGACCATGGAAAACAGCTTCTTTGGTGAGGTGGATGGTGCTGGCGTTGTCACACCAGAGCGTGGGACAGGGCTGTGGTGAGCCAAGGTCTGTGAGGAGATAACTGAGCCAGCGTGCTTCCTGTGCTGCCATTGTGACCGCGTACAGGTCGGCCTCACAGGAGGAGAGGGCGATGGAGGAGGAGAGGGTGGAGCGCCAGCTGATAAGGCCGCTTCCAAGGGTGAAGCCATATCCTTGTGAGCTGCGACGGTCAGGCTGCGAGTCTGCCCAAGACGAGTCGCTGAAGCCAGTGAGAACCGGTGGGGTCTGCTCCACCGAGGGTGAGGGTATAATTCTTCGTGTGCTGAAGGTAGCGTAGCACACGCCGGGCTGCTGTCATGTGTTCCTCTGTGTGCCTGCCGACACCAACGAACCGCGCCAGGACACTGACTGGGTATGCAAGGTCGGGGCGGGTGCAAACCATGGCGTACATCAGGGCCCCAACGAGTTCTGCATAAGGGTTCGAGGAGTCGGTGGGGGTGGCGGGGGGTGAGAGCTGGTGGCCGACTGCAAGCGGGGTGGCGATGGGCTTGGCCTTTGAGAGAGGGAGATAGTCTTGGCCTTGAGGTCGCGGGTGATCTCCATGCCAAGGTAGTTGCGGACTTCCCCCAGGTCTTCGCAGGCGAGGCGGCGTTGTAGTTCGTCCTTGACCTTCTGCATCTCAGCATCTGTGTCGGCGGCCAGTAGCATATCGTCGACGTATACGAGAATGTAGAAGGGGGACGGAGTTGTCCGAAGGAAGAGGCTGGAGGCAGCTCGGGAGGGGCGAAAACCAAGCTCGCGAAGGGTGGAAGAGAGCTTGGCATGCCACTCCCGGGGTGCCTGCTTGAGGTCGTAGACTGGCCGCAGCAGCTTCCAAACGGTGGCCGGGTCATGTGGAGCGTGAATGGCATGGTGTGTGTGTGTATGATGGCATGGTGTGGGTGTGTGTAATGGCATGGTGTGGGTGTGTGTGATGGCATGGTGTGGGTGTGTGTGATGGCATGGTGTGTGTGTGTGTGTGATGGCATGGTGTGTGTGTGTGTGATGGCATGGTGGTGTGGTGTGTGATGGCATGGTGTGTGTGTGTGTGTGTGTGATGGCATGGTGTGGGTGTGTGTGATGGCATGGTGTGTGTGTGTGTGATGGCATGGTTTGGGTGTGAGTGATGGCATGGTGTGTGGTGTGTGTGATGGCATGGTGTGGGTGTGTGTGATGGCATGGTGTGGGTGTGTGTGATGGCACGGTGTGGGTGTGTGTGATGGCATGGTGTGGGTTTGTGTGATGGCATGGTGTGGGTGTGTGTGATGGCATGGTGTGGGTGTGTGTGATGGCATGGTGTGGGTGTGTGTGATGGCATGGTGTGGGTGTGTGTGACGGCATGGTGTGGGTGTGTGTGTGATGGCATGGTGTGGGTGTGTGTGATGGCATGGTGTGTGTGTGTGTGATGGCATGGTGTGTGTGTGTGTGATGGCATGGTGTGGGTGTGTATGATGGCATGGTGTGTGTGTGTGTGATGGCATGTGTGTGTGTGTGTGATGGCATGGTGTGGGTGTGTGTGATGGCATGGTGTGTGTGTGTGTGTGGTGTGTGTGTGTGTGATGGGCATGGTGGTGTGTGTGTGTGATGGCTGGTGGTGGGTGTGTGTGTGATGGCATGGTGTGGGTGTGTGTGATGGCATGGTGTGGGTGTGTGTGATGGCGGGTGGTGGGTGTGTGTGATGGCATGGTGTGGGTGTTTGTGATGGCATGGTGTGTGTGTGTGTGTGTGTGATTGCATGGTGTGGGTGTGTGTGATGGCATGGTGTGGGTGTGTGTGATGGCATGGTGTGGTGTGTGTGATGTCATGGTGTGGGTGGTGTGATGGCATGGTGTGGGTGTGTGTGATGGCATGGTGTGGGTGTGTGTGATGGCATGGTGTGGGGGTGTGTGTGATGGCATGGGTGTGGGTGTGTGTGATGGCATGGTGTGTGTGTGTGTGTGATGGCATGGTGTGGGTGTGTGTGTGATGGCTGGTGTGGGGTGTGTGATGGCATGGTGTGGGTGTGTGTGATGGCATGGTGTGGGTGCGTGTGATGGCATGGTGTGGTGTGTGTGATGGCATGGTGTGGTGTGTGTGTGTGTTGTGATGGCATGGTGTGGGTGTGTGTGATGGCATGGTGTGGGTGTGTGTGATGGCATGGTGTGTTGTGTGTGTGACGGCATGGTGGGTGTGTGTGTGTGTGATGGCATGTGTGTGTGTGTATGATGGCATGGTGTGTGTGTGTGTGATGGCATGGTGTGGGTGTGTGTGATGGCATGGTGTGGGTGTGTGTGATGGCATGGTGTGGTGTGTGTGATGGCTGGTGTGGGGTGTGTGTGATGGCATGGTGTGGTGTGTGTGATGGCTTGGTGTGGGTGTGTGTGATGGCATGGTGTGTGTGTGTGTGTGATGGCATGGTGTGTGTGTGTGTGATGGGTTGGTGTGGGTGTGTGTGATGGCATGGGGTGGGTGTGTGTATCGCACCATGTGTGTGCATGACATAGTTGTTGCGCTCTGTCCTTATGTGCTTTCAGTTATGTGCTGTGACGTACGTGGTCTGTGGTGTGAGTTAAGAGATGCCTTCCATACTGTAGGACCGGCACTGAACTCAACTCCCTCGCTACCCGCCTTCTTCGCCCCACCCTTCCTCCTCCCACCTCTCTCCCACACACACAACCCTAGCGACTGCCCCCCGCAGCACCCAACCTTCCCCATCCCTAACCCCCCTCACCTCTCTCCCCCCATCTCCACGCCACGCCCCTCCCCCAGCACATGCATATCATCATGCTGCTCTGCTCTGCCTGGGGAGCCACTTGCCATCCCTCAAAACCCCCTCTCCCCGCGCCGCCCCCGGCCCCACTTCCTCCCCCTCCCCCTCCCCCTCCCCCTCCCCCTCCCCCTCCCCCTCCCCCTCCCCCTCCCCCTCCCCCTCCCCTCCCCCCCCTCCCCCCCTCCCCCTCCCCCTCCCCCTCCCCCTCCCCCTCCCCCTCCCCCTCCCCCCAGCGCGTGCACATCATCGTCATGCAGCGCAGCTCTTCCAGCGCCGCGACCTCCTGGCCAATCTTACCTTCCTTCGCCCCGCTTGCCCAACGTCACCTCCCCCTTTCACCCGCCCTCCCCCCCCATTTTCCCCTCCCCATGCAGCACGTGCACATCATCATGCAGCTCTGCTGGGGCGGGGACCTGTTCGGCCGCATCAAGCACCCAAGGTGCTCCTCCCCTCCCCCCCTCCTCCCCCTCCCCCCCCTCCTCTCCTCCCCCCCCTCCTCCCTCCCCCCCCCCCCTCCCCATGCAGCACGTGCACATCATCATGCAGCTGTGTCAGGGCGGGGATCTCTTCGATCGCATCAAGCAGCGCAGCCGCTACGAGGAGCGGCCCGCAGCGGCCGTGCTGCAGCAGCTGTGCAGCTGGTCAGCTGCGGGCGTGCCAGCAGCCGCTGGTGCTGCGGGCGTGCCACACCCTGGGGGTCATGCACCGCGATGTGAAGCCCGAGAACCTGCTGCTCTGCTCGCCCTCCGATGACGTTGCTGTGAAGGTCACTGACTTTGGCATCGCCGTGCCAATCAAGCCAGGTGAGGCTCACGTCGGGGTAAGAGATGCTGAGAAACGAGTGGATTTTGGATGATTGGGGACTAGGAAACGAGTGAGCAATGCTAAGCAGCTGGCGCTGGTGCTGCGGGGGCGTGCCAGAGATGAGATGACGTTGCTGTCAAGGTCACAGATTTCGAAATTGCTTTGACGATCAAGTCATGTGGGTCGATGAGACAGTGGTGAGAAGTGCTGCAATAGCTGGTAGCGGTGGTGCAACCCGCACATACTGAGTACGTACTGCAACCTGCAACTGGGGTGCTTAACAGACGCAGCGATGCTTCACATGTTGTCAGGCCGATAAGTTATTCTGTTCCCCTCCCCTTCTCTTTCTTCTCTCTTCCCGTCCGCATCTCCCTCCTATGTTCCTTCCCCTTCCCACACCCCCCCCTCCCCAAACCCAGTCCCCCCGTCCCCCACAATTGCCAAGCTCAGAGCTGACATGCTGACTCACACTCGTACATGGCACCATATTAGCAGTCCTTGTCTCAGAATCCTCATTCTTAACCTCCTCCCCCCACCCCCCCCCCCCGCCCTTCTCCCTCTGCCCCTTTCCCTCTGCCGCTTTCCCCCGCCCACTGCCTCCCTCCCAGGCGCCAAGCTAACGGAGTTCATAGGGTCGCACATGTACATGGCACCAGAAGTCATCAACAAGAGCTACAGTGCCGAGGCCGACGTCTGGTCGGCGGGAGTCGTGCTATACGTGCTTCTGGCCGGTGTGCCGCCCTTCTGGGCGTCAACAGAATCGGGGGTGCTGGATGCAATCGTATCCAAGCCTCTCAACTTGTCCTTCCCTCCGTGGCCTTCCATATCCGCGGAAGCCAAGGACTTGATAAAAGAGATGCTTAAGAAAGATCCGGCGGAGCGAATCACACTGGACGCTGTGCTTGGTAAGTGCACCAAGCATCGAAAATTACAATACCACTTAGCGCTGCCGCTCCATTGTTTACCACCCCTAAAACCATGTTGCTCTGTAAGTGAACCACCCCCTGACCACTGCTAACTCGTTGAGGTCTACTTCTTCCTGCTCACTGCTTTTCCGCAGTGTAACAGTTTCCAATGCACTCCTGCTCTGAGCACTGCTGCTACATAAGTCTGTCTTTCATTATATTGTCCTCTTTCTGGCCCTCTATTCCCCCTCTCTTCTTCCTCGCCCTCTCTTCTTCCTCCCCTCTCTCTTATTCCTCCCCCTCTCTTCTTCCTCCCCCTCTCTTCTTCCTCGCCCTCTCTTCTTTCTCGCCCTCTCTTCTTTCTCGCCCTCTCTTCTTCCTTGCCCTCTCCTCCTCCTCGTACTCCTATCTGCCTCAATTTCTATACCCCATCTTCACACCCCATCCTACGGCCCATGCTCCCCCATTGCAGAGCATCCCTGGATCAAGGCCCATACTGCACTCTCGTGATACACTGTAAATTCAGATACTCGCACTTTCTGTTACTCGCAACCCTGCGAATTTATTGTGGTAGGTTGGCACACCAGTTGTTCCAATTGAACACCACCCCCCCAACTCGCACTTCTTCCTCGCCCTCTCCTCCTCCTTCACCGAATTCTCCCAAATATGTACAGGGAACGCCTTTTTTTTTTAAGAATTTTGGACATTTGTGTCTTTATACATTGTAATGTTGATGTGTCAGCAGCTTGACAGAAATGTGCTGCGGTGGGGGTGTTCCCAGCCCCTCCCATAGCCATTCCAAGGGCAAACTTACCCGTGTGAATGAAGGTGTGCATGCAATACGCAGTATCGTGCTCCTGCCGGTCGCTTGCTCACCCCACCGTTCTGTGGCACCACCGGATGGGGCACCCGTCCCTCCCTCGTCTCCGCGCTATGTCCAGTCAGCGTCTTGTCTTAGGCCTCTCCCGCGTCCTTCCGCCCCTCCCGCCTTCCCCAGCTCCTCCGTGCGGCCCTTGTGTCCAGGGTCGGCTGCGCGCCACCCCTCACTCCTCCTCCCTTCGTCCGGCCACCGAGCCCTTCGAGACACTCCACTTAGACGTCTGGGGCCCCGCTTGCCGTCTTGGCAATGAGCGGGAGAGTTTCTTTCTGGTGGTCGTTGACGATTACTCTCGGTACACCACCGTGTTCCCTTTGGCGAAGAAGTCCGACGTGACTTCTACGCTGATCCGGTGGCTGCTCGCCACCGAGAGTACTCGCCGTCGTCGTGTCAGTTGTCTCCACTCCGACCGTGGGGGTAAGTTTCACTCCGGCATTCTCGCCAGATTCTGTGCTGAGCAGGGCATCACCCAGTCCTGGACTCTTCCAGACTCTCCACAGCAGAATGGGGTTGCTGAGCGCCGCTTAGGCCTGGTCATGGAGATCGCCCGCACCTCCATGATCCACGCCCGCGCGCCCCATTTTCTGTGGCCCTACGCGGCTCGGTACGCCGCTCACCAGCTGAACCTCTGGCCTCGCGTCTCTCGGCCAGGGGCTTCACCGACCAGTCTTTGGACAGGGTCCCCTGGTGTTGCGTCGAGGTTTAGTGTCTGGGGGTGCTTGGCTCTTGTCCGCGACACCTCTGCGGACAAGATCTCGCCTCGCGCCGTCCCCTGTGTCTTCCTTGGTTTCCCAGAGGGCTCCTCTGACTTCACCTTTTACCACCCTCCCTCCCACCGGTTCTTTGACTCTCGTGACGTCCGTTTCGACGAGTCCGTCCCCTACTACGTCCGGTACCCCTGTCGAGGTCTCCCGGTTCCCCCCCCTCCCCTCTTCCTGGCTCCAGCTCCTCCTCCTCCCGCCCCTGCTCCTCCGGTACCCCCCCCTGTTCCCGCTCCGTCTGGTGTGTCCCACGCTACTCCCCCCCCCTCGGTACCCCCCCAGGTCTCTCCTCCTTCCCCACAGTCGTCCTCACAGCCTCCGCAGCAGCCGCCAGCGCTTCCTTTACCGGCCACTGCGGACTCTGAGGGTGTTGGTGCTCGAGGTGAGGGCTCTGGGGGTGTTGGCGTTGGCGCTGAGCGTGCACCTGCCGCAGCTGCCCGTTCCGAGGGTACTGGAGCTGGTGGTGGTGCTGGAGCTGGTGGTGTTTCTGGAGCTGGAGAGTCTGGGGCTGGTGCTGGTGCCACTGGAGGCACCACGACTGGGGGTGCGGGTACACCTCCTACTGGTGCTGGTCGTACTGCTGCGGGAGGTACTCGCTCTGGGGGTGCTCAGCCGGGTACTGTCGAGGACGGCGCCGGTTCTTCTGTTGCGTCTCCTGACACCACTCCTCCTCCTCACCCCTACCCGACTCGTTACCAGGCCCTTCTTCGTCTTGAGCGTGAGGAGCAGCAGCGTTTGGAGCGTGAGAGGTCGGAGGTTCAGCAGCGGGTGGAGCGTGAGAGGTTGGAGTTGCAGCAGCAGCAGCAGCAGCAGCAGCAGTAGCAGCCGGAGCCGCAGCAGCAGCCGCAACAGCTGCAGCAGCAGCAGCAGCAGCGGCAGCAGCAGCCGGAGCAGCCTTCGGCCCCTGTTTCTGGCCTTCGGGCCCTTGGTCTCCCCTCCTCTCCTCCCGTTTTCGGTCCTACGTTTCCTCCTCCAGACTCAGCTCCGGCTGTGTTCCCTCGTTCTCAGTCTCCTCCGTCTCCCCCTCCACTCGCCCACACTTGGACCTCTCGTCCTCCTCGTGCTCGTCCCTCGTCCCCTGTCACTGACCTCCGTACCTCTTTGTTTCGTTCTAGTCCTCCTCGTCCTCCTCAGTCTGTTCTTCCTCGTCCTCCTGAGTCGTCCCTCACTGCCTCCCTGTCCACTCCGGTCTCTGACTACTACCGCACGTACCGCCCCACTCTCTCTCGTGTTCTCGCCTCTCTTGTTACAGACCCTCGTGCCTCTCCTTCCTCCGTCGCGGTCCTCACTGCCGCTGTCACTGACTTTACTGCTACGCGTCGCCTTGACTACGCCACTCGTGTTGTGGCCGCTCCTCCTGTCCGTCCTCTGTCCGCCGGGGGTGAGTTTGCCCTTGGCTGTGACGTCCTAGAGGACAGACAGTTTGAGCTAGAGTTCCTGGCAGCTGCTTCGCCTCATCTCTGTGCCATGCTCCTCGCTCCTGAGGGAGACCCCGACGGCCCTAACATACCTACTCCTCGCACTTACGCTGAGGCAGTGTCAGGGCCTTGGGCCTCTCAGTGGAGAGCTGCCATGGACGCAGAGATGGCCTCCTACAGGTCCACAGGCACTTACGTTGATGAGGTTCCCCCCGTAGGGGCGAACATCGTTGACGGCATGTGGATCTTCAAGGTGAAGCGGCCGCCGGGATCTCCCCCAGTCTTCAAGGCACGCTACGTGGCTAGAGGGTTCAGTCAGCGTGAGGGAGTTGACTTCTTTCAGACCTTTGCGCCCACCCCGAAGATGACCACTCTTCGGGTGTTACTGCACGTAGCAGCGCAGAGAGACTACGAGCTACACTCTCTTGACTTCTCCACTGCCTTCCTCCAGGGCCGCCTACACGAGGAGATCTGGTTGCGTCGTCCTCCGGGCTTCACTGGCACTTTCCCGCCTGGGACCCAGTGGAGCCTCAGACGACCGGTCTACGGTCTCCGCCAGGCACCCCGTGAGTGGCACGACACTCTCCGCTCTACTCTCTCCGACCTCGGGTTTGAGCCGTCTTCCGCCGACCCGTCGCTGTTTGTTCGTCGTGGGCGCACACCTTTCTTCGTTCTCGTCTACGTTGACGACCTGGTTTTTGCCACAGCCGACACAGTTGCACTGGCGGAGGTGAAGTCCAAACTGCAGAAGAGACACACCTGCATTGACCTTGGGGAACTGCGCCGCTACCTTGGCCTGCAGATCTCCAGGGACAGAGCCGCTCGCACCATCACTCTGACTCAGTCACACATGGTGCAGCAGGTCCTTCAGCGGTTCGAGCTTCAGCACTCTTCTCCTGCACCCACCCCTCTTGCTGTAGACCACAGACTCACTGGGCCTTTTCCTGACGAGCCGTTCGAGCCCAGTGGCCTCTACGCAGAGCTCTACGGCTGCCTCAGCTGGTGGGCTGCCTCATGTACCTGATGACGTGTACTCGCCCGGACCTCGCCTTCCCTCTTAGCATCCTTTCTCGCTTTGTTGCGACTGGGAGACACCGTCCTGTTCACTGGACGGCGGCTAAGAGGGTGGCGAAGTACCTCGGCGCGACATCAGACATGGGGCTTGTGTGAAAGATGTGAATTGAACAAGTTGTTTGATTAGAGAGCAAACCTAGCATACATAGTTTGGAAGGGAAGGTTGGAAGGGAAGGTTGAACCCAACCTATGGTTGGGTTGACCCCCACATGAGAAGTGAGGCAACCATAGGTGGGGTGGGTTGGGTTGCCCACACTTCTAAGAAGTGTGGCAACCCTAGGCCCACTTGGCTTGTGGTGGCCTCAATTGGGAATTGAGGTACCCAAAAGTCAAGAGGGTTGCAATTTGGGGGCTCCACCACAATTGGGTGGATTGGCACCCCAAAGTGCAAGACTACACCCAATGTTGGGTGTAGTCCCAACCCAACTGTACACCACAATTGGTGTACAGTCACATGTGCTTAGCATGCTACAATATATAATTCTAACACAACCCATTAGCATGCTAACACAAGAAGGGAACAACCCCTGAATCAAGGGGCGCCCGGGCGAGCGAGGCCGATGAGGCGGATAAGACCCTTCTGGACAAGCTCACGAATGAAGAAATAGCGGAGCTCGATGTGCTTGGAGCGGGCATGATAGACAGGGTCCTCAGTGAGATGGATGGTGCTGGCATTGTCGCACCAGAGAGTGGGGCACGTCTGGGGAGCGCCAAGCTCGGCAAGGAGGAAGCAGAGCCAGCGGGACTCCTGAGCGGCCATGGTGCCGGCGTAGAGCTCGGCCTCGCAGGTGGAGAGAGAGATGGCGGAGGAGCGGGTGGAGCGCCAGCTGATGAGGCCGCTGCCAAGGGTGAAGCCGTAGCCCTGGGAGGAGCGGCGGTCCGGCTGCGTGTCGGCCCAGGAGGAGTCGCTGAAGCCCGAGAGGAGAGGAGGGGAAGAACCGCCAAGGGTGAGGGCAAGGTCCTTGGTCCCTCGAAGGTAGCGGAGGACCCGCTTGGCCGCCTTCCAGTGCTCCTCACTGTGGCGGCCGGTGCCGACGAAGCGAGCGAGCACGCTGA